TCAAAGTCGTCATATATATATATATCATAAACTCGGGTGTAGTCACTGTTGCCAATAGAACACCGAAGTCAAACATCACTGGCTGCTATCAGTGGACGGGTGGGTGAACAATTTATTCAAGCTAAGAAAGGTCCGAGGGTGTGCGGCAGCGGTGGTCGTTGGGCTATCAAAGTGGGGGAGCCATCCCCTTCGCAGAGGATCAAAATTTTGATGCCATTACTTTACTGTCGAACTGACAAACTGACTGTTTACTGACAAACTGACTTTACTGTCGTTGAGTGTTCTGAGTACGAAGATATCGTCTGAAAAGTTACACCAATAAACCTAGCCACCCCCACACCAGAGTCTGAGACTTGCCCCGTACCGATTACGCTTAGTGTTTAAATAAGTATGGAAAAACAAGCACGTAATTCCTAGTTTAGTTGTAGAACTTGTTTTGAAAACTGAAAAATTCACTTTTGTTTCACGCATTTCAAGCTGTGTTTAATTTCGTAAGCATGTATTTAGTGCTGTGTCTATTTTAATAAACACACATTTTGAGCTGTGTTAATTTTTATAAACACGTACTTCCTGGTGTGTCCATTAACTTAAACTCGTATTTTGTGCTGTGTCCATTTTCATAAGCACGCATTTCGAACTGTGTCTATTTCGTTAAACACATATTTTGTAGTGCGTCTATATTCGAAAACAATCCTTTCTAAGTTTTCATAATCACGCATTTCGAGCCGTGTCTTATTGTCGTGAACACTCATTTCAAGCTGTTGTTTATTTTCGTAACACGTACTTCGTGCTGTGTCTGTTATCGTAAACGTGTGTTCAATTTCGTAAACGCGCATTCTGAGCTGCGTCCAGATTTAAAACTTCTTTGACGAGATGCTGTGATAATCTGCAGCGTTCGCTGCCGTGCTGGAGGATTTCTTTTACCGAAAAGTCAAGTATTGTTGGTATGGTTCGGTGACGCTCGCGAATTAGTATTTTGTAAGTTGCCTGTAACCACATGCCAATTCGCTAATAGTTGTGCGTTTGGAATTTATTTCTGTTAATCAAACTGATGTGAAATAAATGGTAATTGAAAACTTGTTGATTGCATTGTTTCAATTACATGTAGTTTAATTGTTATTTCATTTGGGACTATACAACGTATTCTAGAATCTTTTGAAATGGGAAACTTTATTGTTTATCCAGTATATTTAATAATAGTGTATACGAAACACCTTGTAAGTTTCCAAAAACAATCTTTCTGCGTAAAATATTAACGTTTTTTTGGAAAACCTCTTCAGACCTGGTGTCCGGTATACCGCACATCATTTTTAGGTTAATATAGCTTAATTAATAATCCCCAAAAACACAAATCTTTTTGTTTTTATTTTACTTTATAACCAACGAGAAACAGCCGACTAAATTCTGAATTAATGAATATCAATGTTCCACTCCGTAGCCTTGAAAGTTTGAACCCAATCCAGAAGACAAGTTAACTCCTGGATTGGAAAAAAAACAAGCTTTAGTTGGGGATTTTTTTTGTTTTTTTTTGGTGGAACTAACCCTCATTCGTGCTACATGGAGATGAAACGTAGTTTAATCTCGACTCGCCCTTACAGGGAGCATCCGGGGAAAACTGAAGTCTCGTAGTGTGCTTTCGTGTCCTCCTATCAGTACAAGAAGACAAATAAACTGCGTCGATGAACAAAGGAGACATGAAGCAACCCTGAGAGTGACCCTGCTTTGCAAGGTTGCAAATGTACAGATGTAAAGGTTCTTTACAAAGCTTTAGGCTACAACTGAATAATGTTTCGTAATATAAGTTTATAAATGTTACATCTAATGGGGCAGGGCAACAAAATTTGGAACATAATATATGTACATGAATTGTAAATGAAGGTGCCCGTATATGTAAAGATGAAATATAACATCCCGTCCACATCATTAACTAAACTATTAAAGAACTAGTAAAGTTCCTAAAGTAGCAAGGAAACAGAGAGCAAAGATGATTGTCTTTTATAAAGACCAAAACTGTAATTAACAAAATTCTCAATGGAAATGTATACAACTGAAGAAGTCGATATACAGGAATCAAAATTTAGAAGCCCTTAATAAGTACTATCACTGATAAATGTTTCACAAAAGTAAAGATTAATCATATCGAAATAAAAAAATTTGCAACTAGCTCAAGGCGTAGTGCATGTGAATTAATCCCTGATGAATAATGTCTTTTACATGGAGAGGAAAAATAAGGAGAACTTCTCACTGTTAGCCCGACGACAATGGGATTCCAACCCCGTATCCGTATACCACTGAGTATATTTTGTGTCATTACCGTGGTTGGTGCTAGCAAGGAGCAGAATTTGTATCAACATGCCAACGCTGGGATTCAAGCCTGTGTCACGCCATTAGGTAGCGAGCTCTCTTTACCCTGTTTTTTTTTTTTTTTTTTTTTTTTAAATTTTAAGATTTTGATTCTTATCCTTATTTTTATAAATATAATTTTTAATTTTAATAATATTTAAAGCTAAACTGTTTCAAAATGATGCTCAAACAGGCTGGTTTAAAAGTAGAGTTGGCTCTTAATGCAATTTTCAAAGTCGTCATATTCGCTTATGAAAATGACTTAATTGATTGTATATTTGTAAGTTTAGGGTGAAGTGAAAGTTTCAAAAATTAGCACATCCAATTTTCAAACTCATCCAAACAACAACAAATTATTAATAAAGCTTATTATCCAGATTTATGAATGTTTTCCGAAATATTCCAATTTTTAGCAGGAATTCTTGAACTTCCTAAACTATAAATCCATAAACCAAAATATTTGAGAAAATGATATTCAGCATGGTAGGTAGGTAATTGATTTACGTCACGTTAGAGATGCATATTGGGCTATCGGCGACGGTCAGTACAACAATAACGGTCAGTACAAGGGAAACATCCTTGAGGACGATCAGAAGAGATACCATCACAATTTTGATCCTCTGCAGAAAGGATGGCTCTTCCGTTGTGGTAGCTTGACGACCTACACGCGATATCGAAGACTTTACAATCGAACAGTTAAACGAGAACCGATACCGCACACCTTCGATCACTGCGCAGCTGTTCGAAGTGGTCACCCACCAGCTTACTGACCGTAGCCAGTGTTTGACTTCGATGTTCTACTAGGAACCGAACCTTTATAATCAGGCCTCTGCGGGACTATATTCATTATGGAGAAACGTACTCTGTACCAAAGAAAATACTCTCAACTAATATTTCTAAAATTCAACTGCTTCCGTTTTCCTTGCTTAAATAACTTTAAAATAGGCGATCTCTAGATCTTTTGATGGGTAACGTTAAAAAAAAGAAAAGAAAAAAACATGAACTGAGAAATATATAAAATGTTTTACAATTAAAGTGGTAGACAAAAAGAAATAAACAAACAAAGTAAGCAGAAACCAGTGTTAACTTCGATTTGATGACAAAATAATTTTGTCCTTGTTTTTGGCCGTATCATTGTAAGCGCTTGATATTAGTGATAATCAAATATATTTGATAAAAAAACGTTTTTAAATATTGAAATGATACACCATTAGTTTAAAATTAAATAAATCAATAATGTTAACATTTTACAAAATTCGTTTCTTCAATAATAAAACTTTAAACTACGCACGCTAGAAATACTTTCTTATTGGTTAGATCTCTTTTGTAGGAACCAATCAAACGTTGGAAGTTTTTTGTTTCTAAGGGAACACTATCAAAGAAAAACAAAAGGGTAATCTATTTAAGTCTTTGCACATCTTACATTTTCACCATACAAAAATAATGCCAACGATGCAGGGTATTTTAGTAATTTTCATCTTTTCAATTACATTGATGAATAATACTTGTAAGTAGCTTACACATCTTTTTATTTTTGCCAAAGTAAAAAATAAAATGTTTTAAAGAACTCAATGTTTGTATTTAATTGGTGATTTCTAGAATATATAATTTTAGCTTAATGCAAACTACATTAATTCACGCGCAGAAAAGTTTAAATAATTATTCTTAGTATGTATCACTAACTCTATTAAATTAACTTGTATTAAAAACAGTTTAAAAGTGTTATATTATTTTATTTTATGTAGTATATATATTAATGTACTACTAATTTATTTATTTGATTTTGCACACATTGCATATGTTTATTTTGCACGTATGATTTGTATATTAACATATAATGTTTTTTATACATTTTTCTTCATCATGTTATTACTATAATTTTTTGGAAATATTTATTTATTTTTAGCATTTTCATTTCAAAAGTACATTTATTTTAATTATTATTTTTTTAGATTAAAAATAAAATGTTTGGATTATTTTTGAAACATTTTTAGTTTAAAACAATTTTTATTTCCGGAATTGCTATTGTGTAATTTTTGCACAAATTGAATTAATTACATCTTTTTATTCATTTAAGAAAAAATATCTCGTTTTTAGCAGTTTTCTATCCTAAGATTGTTTCAGATCTTATCATTTTGAGTTTTTTAAGAAAATGACTAACGATTAGTGATATATAACAAATTGTGTAACTGTTAAAAAATTTTCTGAATAGTAGTCAAGAATTGTGTTGGTTATCTATGTTTTTAGAAAGGTTCTTTTAAAAATTAAGTGATATACAGAGAGAAGTTGTGATTTATCTTCTGCGTTCGGCATTTCAAAACAACGATATCTTTACTAACTTATTCATTAATATTGTTACATTTCGTTACATATTGCCGAGAAACTTCTTCGGATTAATTTTTTTTCCGGAAAAAATTCATCCTCATTAAAAGTTGTACTTTTAACTTGCGCAATATGTTTTTACCATCTACATTAATTAAATAACGAAAAGAGTACGAAAAATATGCGTTAAAGGGTGTTTTTCGAAGCTCATTTGCCATGTAAAAATAAGTAAAAACTACAGCTTACCTTTTAATTCGAAGAAAATCCTTTAATTGATTTAGTAAACATGTATTTTTAAATTATACTAGATAAATTATCTGGTTTACTAGATGTGATGTTTACTAGCTAAATTATCCGATCTTTAAAACAGACAAGTAGATAAAATATTTTTTAAAAAAAGTTTGAAACAAATTGAGCATTTAAAAACTTTTTTTCATCTTAATGAAAAATTATCAAAACTAATAAATAATTCACAACTTTTTACTTTTTTTATGTGTCTAAACAATGTAGCGTTGTAGTAAATTTCCAATGATCAAAAAAGCTTGCTAACAAAAGTTTTCTTTATTTCAAATATTAAAAAAAACTGTGGCTTTTGCACGTTTTGCATCCTTTTCCTCATTAGCATAAGAGAAAGTTGGTTAACTTAGACTTATAAAACTTAGAAGTCATGAATAACTGTTACGATTTTGAAACAGCTCTAAAAAAACATATTATTCGTTAAAAAACTTCACATAAGATGAAAGAGATTCGAGTGACACTTAACAGTCATGAATAACTGTAACAAACTCACAACAGTTTTACTATTGGGTTGATCGGAAAGTAATTTCGTTTCTTAGGAGGGAAATGAAGGACAATTTTCGTATAATGAATAAATATTTTATTAAATTATTTATTGGCCATTCTGGTTCAACACCTTTTGCCATCTTTCTGGTAGTAGCATGATTCCACTCTTATAAAATTTCTGGTCTTAGCTGGCAAAAAATTGATCCAGGTGAGTTTTGACCTCTTCATTTTAAGTAAAGGTTTTACAGTCCAAAGTAAAGGTTTTACAGTTAACGGTTTTACAGTTTACATTTTAAGTAAAGGTTTTACAGTTTTGTAGTGACCGGAGCAAATAATAATCCAAAGGTGCCAGATCTGGAGAATATGGTGGGTGTGGCAGTGTATCCCATTGAAGCTGTAAAAGCTTTTGGCGAGTGACCAAACTTGTATGAGGTCTCGTGTTATCTTGGTGGACTTTTCTGTTGACTGATTCTGGCCTTTTCTGTTGAGGAGCATTATTCAGTTTGTCCAACTGACGACAGTAGACTTTCGAATTAAGTGTCGTGTTATCCGGTGAAAGCTAAAAAAAAAAGTAAACTAAACTCAGCGGCACGACAGCCCAATAGAGGGCCAAGGTCTACTGTGCCTATCTCAGTTTTCTTGACCTTGGGCTCTGGGGTGCAGGAGCAGATGTTCTGGCCAGGTGGTCAGCCTAACGCGGAACCCCCAGTGTTTAGTTTCCAAGCATGCTTGGTACTCATTTATCGACCCACTGAAGGGATGAAAGGCTGAGTCAACCTTGCCCGGCCCGAGGATCGAACCCAGGCCATGTGGCACGGGAGAGCGACGCGCTATCACTCAGCCACCGGGCGTCTAAAAAAAACTATTTCTTTTAAATCCCGCCAAACAGACGGCATCACCTTTTTTCAATGGATATTGGTTTTCGAAATGCTTTGAGCCGGTTCATCTTTTTTGCTCCATGATTACTTGCGTTTGACATTGTTATAGACAACCCATTTTTCGTCCCAAGTAATGATGAGCTTCGAAAATGGATCATTTTCGTGACGTTTGAGAAGCGAATCACAGACGTCAAAGCGACACAAATTTCTTTCCGCGAGAACATGGGGAACCCATATTACTTTCCGAACAACCCGATAATAACATATATTTCGTGAAAGAGCTTTAAGAACAATCGTAAAACATGCTATTATAATTTTATTGTAAAACGTATCTATAAAACAATTTTATTTCTGTTTTTTTTGGACAAAAGGTGCCTGTCCTAGCGACAAGTACTTTCCCTTCGATGGTGTATGCTATGGATTTCATTTTGGACGGAAAAACATTAATGATGCCAAAAAAACTTGTCAGGACGAAGGCACTGAGATAGCTCCAGTTCGAGATAAAATACCAGAAAAACTGGAACATATGCTCTCAGAGATTTTGCATAAACAAATTGAAAAACAAAGTTTTTGGATTGGTTTCGAAATGAAAGATAGAGAAGATTATCAAAAGAGTATCGAGGAACGAGAGTAAGACTACATTTTATTTATTCATTTAAAAGGTCTATAATAACAGACAATATAACTATTGTTTATTTGTTAGTAATTAATATTTAAAGTTAGAAAATAAAACGTATAAAATATTAAGTAAAACAGTGTATAATGAGCAAAAAAAAAAAAAAAAAAGAAAA